TACATTGTGGTATCTGAAGTTTTTTTTTTCTATTCAAAGTGTGTCTTCATAAGTCAATGAGACGATTAAACTTAGTCTGTACTAAAATTAATTTTGCGACTCGCATTCGCATCTATAAGTGCAAACATTTTTCAAACGTCTATCCTTCTTATCTCTCATCCTTCATTTTTGTGTTTGTTACTGTATTTTAAGACCTCTAATCCTCAACACTTATACTTATATATAACCTAATTGTGTTGCAAGTGCCGTAAACATGCTTACAATGGCATGGGCCACACACACAAAAAAACAGGAATCAGAAAGTCTCAAAGACAGGACACTTAATTCTGCAATTTGGTGTTGGCAGAGCAATATCTTTTTATGATGCTTGTCACTGCTGCTCTTTATTAAATAACACTTGTGCAGTTTGTCTTTCTTTTTAGTTTTAGGAAGGGTTTTACGGCACTTGCCACACAATAAGGTCATATAAGTGCCGAAGATTAGAGGTGTTACAAGAGAGTAACAAACATAAACAAGGAGGTGGGGAGATCAGGACGATAGTAGTTTGATAGGAAAGATGGAGCAAACCACACCAGAGCACCCGCCAACCACCCACTACCACTTTCCACTTCAAAGAGTCAAATTGCAGACACATTCTATGACAAAACACACGTACAAGGTTACAAGAATCATACGAGCAAACATACAATTATCAAAAACTGTTATGTATACAATATTTCTTTTATTACGTATGTCAAAAACAGTTTGGTATACAATATTTCTTTTATTACATGTATTATCAAAAACAGTTTTGTTTTCCCTTAAGATACATTTGTGTCATGACGTGGTGGAATCAGGCACTCGTCAAGGTTTGGGCATGTGGTATGATGTAGCGTTATATTGGTATCATCTTAAAGCTTGGTCATTTGTCTTGCTTTAGATGAAAAAAAAAAATTTATCTTGAATACAAGTCGAGATATTTGTGAATGAAGGAGGTGGGGGTCACCTGTTTTTAGGGGTGAAGAAAATGGCCCCCAGAGATGAGTTATTTCCTCAGCTTCAGAGTTTGTAGAAATTGAAAGTTTACAAATTTTGTGCCTTTAATCATCTTTTGGTAAAAATCCATAAAGATATCCAATTATCATGAACAGAATTCAAGATATTTGCGATTGAAGGAAGTGAGGTCACCTGGTTTCAGCGGTGAAATTAGCGAGAAAATGGCCGCCAAAGTTTGGTAACTCCAATAGCTAAAGAGTCTTTGAAAACTGAAAAGTGACATATTTTGAGCCTTAAATCAATGTTTTTCCGTAAAATTCACATGGAAATGCGTTTTTATATGTTTTTAAATAAAAAATCAATAAAAATTTCCAAACAGGCAGAAAAATGCCTGTTTCTCTGATTCCGTTATTTTGACGAGCGCCTGATTTCACCAAGCTGAAATACATTTTTCCTGACATAACGTAAAATGGCAAGTGTACAAAAATACATCTCTGAAAAACACAAGAAATTCTGGAGACAAAATATGGCAAGAGACTCTGTTTACATATTGATGAGAAGAGCAGCAATTGAAGAAGTAAAACCAACAGTTCATCCTCTCAAAACTTAAAAAAAAAAATAAAAAAAATAAAAATAAAATAATAACAATAATAAAAATAATAAAAATAATGACAATAATAATAATAATAATACTACTATGTTAATAATAAAAATGATGGTAATAATAATAGAAACAATAATAATAATAATAATAATAATAATAATAATAATAATAATAATAATAATAATAATATTTTCCTCCCAAAACTGAGATCTGAGGTCAAATCATTGTTGTTTCAAAAAAACTTTTCAATTCCAACAAAAAAAAGAAAAAAAAAGAACACAAAGCATTTAACCCAAGGCCACATTTTCTCCTTTCACTGCACCCTCCCATGACAGTTGCCTGATATATATATATATATATAGCAATGAAAAAGAGCATTCAAAACAAAAGAAAAGCCAAAACAAAAAAGCAATTGCACTGTACTTCTATATTGCATACAAGGAAAAAGCAAAAACTTTCCATCAGAAAAACAAAACAAATTCAGGAACAAGAAAATGCACAAAAAGTAATAAATGTACACAGAAATCTATTGCAAAAGGTCATATTGCAAACCAGTATAAGAATCGAATCCCCTTTCAGGTCTAATTTTAAAATCCAAAACCAAAAACTCAGATCACAAGTCTATGTCGCATTATTCGAGTTTCACCGATAAGACAAATAATTCTGACCTTAATCAACTCAAGAAACCAGAACCCCTGTTTGTCAATATTTTGTTGTAAAGTTAAGAACATAGTTCTGTCTTTACCATATTATGTGAATAATGACAAGTGTCTTTCATTTTCGCTGAAGAAACGCAACTTAAAATCAAGAGTTTTAAGATCCATCAACCTTTTCCACTGCACAGCCCTAAATGACATCAGAGCTACACCTAAAGACACTTCAGTCTGTAGCACCGCCCCGGGGGGAACATAATCTGAATCAAAGGACTTGTCATATCATTTTGAAAGAGCCATGACGTTAATTCAGCATCACACATTTGTATCATGCTCTAAAGTAGGCTGGCAGTTCTTTCCTTTCAAAAGTATCTCACTCTTGTTTTAGTAGAGATTTTACGGCGCTCGCAACTGCATAAGGTCATATGAGCGCCAGAAGATTAGAGGTGTTACAAGAGAATAACAAACATAAAAAAGAAGAAGGGGAGAAAAGGACGATAGATGTTTGATATGAAAGAAATAGCAAACCACACCAGAGCACCCGCCAATCACCAACTCACTCACTCTGAGGCACCGATACAGTTGATAAAGGCAAAGTAAAGCATACTTGAATCAAATAGAAATAACAATGCAAGCCTTTGAAAGGTGTTTCGATTTCCCAGTCCTTCGCATCGTTTGGTTGAGAGTTTGAACTTTGTTACTTTCAGTTTCTGACAAAATTAGCCAGAAACATTCTACAGAGAGTAGAGAGAGACTTTCATTAACACAACAAGAAAAGAAAAGGAAAATACAAAGCAAACATCGGATCATTACAAGTTAGCCAACAGAATTGCACGATTACATGGCTGCTGAAGCAAACGTTTGTAAACCATTTCACTGAAATGGATAGAAGGGCAAAAGCTTGTGCATAGATGGACCAACAACAGCAAATAGCAACAGCAACTTATCATAACATCTTGTTTTAGCAAGTGTTTTACGGCACTTGCAACACAATAAGGTCATATCAGTGCCGAAGATTAGAGGAGCCACAGGAGAGAAACAAACACAAAAAAGAAGGAGGGGAGATAAAGACGATAGATCTTTGGTAGGAAAGAAGAAGCAAACCACACCAGAGCATCCGCCAACCACCCACTAACAGCAAACAACAACAACTACATATCATAACATCAAAGTACAAAAACTCTCAAAAGGAAAAAAAAAAAAGTATTGTAAACCTTTGACAGCCAAAATTTTCTCATTGCCAGATGTGCTTTTAGAATTCCGAACCTCAAAGGGTCTGGCAATAATACATACAGTAAATCGCAATAGAAGTTTGAAGACAAATGTCACGCTCTCAACAAACATTGCAAACACTCTATTTCACTTGCGATAGAGTCACTCTATGTCTGAGTAGCTGACGTACAGGATATATGATAAATTGCGCACAGTTATTTATAATCACAGCTGGCTTCACTCCCTGCCATCATCACTGATAATTGGTCGCTTTTAAGCACAAAGGTGGCTATCCCGAAAAATGCTGTTTTGGGAAAATCGAAGGTAAGGTTTTTACCCCTTCTTCAGTTTCTTTAAAAGACAAGGAGAGTTTTCTCTATAGCTAAATAAATGTACATACCCACCAATGAAACCAAACTTCTATAGGTAGAGCATTGCCCACTTTTGGTGTAGGTCAAGATTTCTGGAAACCCCCGAATTCTGGGTTAGCCCACTTGTCCTTAAAAGTGACCAATTAATTTACGATTCTGAATACAAATATATGTGTGCGCACCATTGAGATACATAAAGATTTCTGGAACATACAGCCTTCAACATCAAGTTGAACACCAGCCACAAAAAATATTTATACAGTAAATAAATCAGTACCAAATATATGTACTGTGATTTATGACAATACGGAAATGAAGAGAAAAAATTATTCGGGGTGGGGGGTGAGAAGATCAAACACACCTCTAGACTGGTTGACACACTTTAAACTTTGTTCCAACACAGCGCAGTGTGCTTAGAGAAATGTCGTTCAACTCTTTCATTTCAGAGATTTTCAAAATCTTATCCAACCACTTTGTTTGATAGCTCTACAAAAGTGCCTTGGACCGCTGTCATAAAGAACGTACCAGTACCCACTGTTTTCTTGTTTTGTTTTGGTTTTGGGTTTTTTCTTAATGGATGAGCCTGACCTTGGGAACAGCGCAAGACATCCGTGCCAGAAGCACACTTTTCCTTACTGCACTCCACAGAAACAGATTGTTTAGTTCTAGTAAGTGTTTTATGGCACTTGCAAGTGCCGAAGATTAGAAGTGTTACAAGAGAGCAACAAACACAAAAAAGAAGGAGGAGAGATAAAGACATAGATGTTTGATAGGAAAAAAGAAGCAAACCACACCAGAGCACCAGCCAACCACCCACGTAACACTGTTAACAAAGAAAAACATCCTGACAAAACAAAATGAGGGACAGCTGTCTTTGTAGAGAAAATAAACTTAATAAAAAAATGAGCATTCCTTTCTTCAAAAGTCTTCTAGAAAAACAGCATTACCTTTCCAGAAATTTCAGAGAAATTACTTACAACAAGGAGTTTCAGGAGAAATGGGAATACACTTTCAGGGGCATTCCAGCAAAATTGTGTACGGTACCAATTCCATAAATTTCCAGAATAGAGTCGCCCATTTTACATCATTCTTCAATAAACATAAATTTTCCTTTGGCAGAGGAATATAAAAATCTCACAGGTAATCTTTTTTCACACAATATCTAGCATGATGCAGAGCTTAATATGGAAAATTAATCTGCACAGATTTGTATCACTTCACGACCTCAGTGCTTTCTTGCCATATCTCCATCTTTAATAAAAGCGAGAACAGTTAATATAACAAAGAGTGAGCTTAAGAGGAGTCACATTTTCACTGATTAAAAAAATGGAGATACGACAAGAAAGAACTGAGGTCACGACTTGTTTAAAGGACTAGGTAGATAATGAAGAAAGGAAGATATCTGCTTTGAAAAATAGCAACATGTTAAACATCAGGAACACCCCCCCCCCGTCACACACCATGTTTTAGTAAAGCAGTGCAAAGAACGATCCGAAGAAGCTACTACTGGACTTGTGGATTGCTCGGATCTTTTCCAGCTTTGCGGATCTTGAAGCTGAGGTCGATAGTCTTGTATCCCTGCGTCAGTTTGCCGACCGATATCACATCCACGTTATCCACGCAGTAGTTGGCCAGGTTTTCCTCGGTGATTCCTCCACTTATCTCAATGATCAAAGACGGGAATTGAGACTTCAGTTCTTTAGCAGCCTGCTCTGCAGCCTAAATGACAAGAGGGAGGAAATTTTTAAAAAAGATTTAGACGCATTTGTTGAGGAGGGGAGATCAATCCATAATCTTCCAACTTAGAACACAACATGTA